CTTTGTTTGTAAATGATGTCAGTGTTGGCGTGTGGCTATCAGTAAATAAATAAAAAACAAGAAAATGGTGCCATCTGGTTTGCTTAATATAAGGAATTTGAAATGATTTATACTTTTACATTTGATACTTAAGTATATTTGAGCAATTACATTTACTTTTGATACGTACATATATTTGAAGCTCACAACCTGGAGTAAACACTGAGACAACATTGTGTGGTGGTTGTGTGTTTGCTGGGTAGTAGGTAAAGATGATATTCAAAGCCTATCTGTCCAACAATTAAGGGTGAACAGAGTTATTATCAGCAGTAAGAGCAATAGCAATAATCAAGTGATGATCAATCATGCAGCAAACAGAGAGATCCATTGTAAGAAAAAAATAAAATAATGGAAACAATGGCAACATCTGTGAATTTTATTTCTCGTCAGCTCCATGTTTCTCACTTTAGCTGTAGACCAAAAGCACCAGGGCCTTTGGGCAACACAACCTCACATTGTTTGTTTCTGAAGGGGTCAAGGGGTGAATAGAATTAGGCGTCCAGGTCAAAATGTGTCTCTTCATCCATCTCATTGGCCTCTATTGCATATTACATCAAAGGTTTTGAAAAATTAACAGTTCCAGTATGACAATGCACATGACTTAAATACTGAGCCCGTGGGGCCATAATACTGTGTGCAACAACCATCTATAACACTGACAGTCTCTTATAGGCATACCAGCACACATTGAACTAACTTTATCTAAATGCATTTCATAGGTTTGCATTCCACTTGGAAACAATTTATTTCCTTTAACTCAGCACCCACTGTGGATATGTTCAACCAGATGCTTCCCTTTCATTCTGTAAAAATGTAAACAGACGTTTCTATGGCTTGAACGCAACCCAACCCAACATCAGATGTGCCTGACATTTGTGTCTATCAGAGATGGTCTGAATTCTAACGGCAATTTAAACATTTGTAAAATTGCAGATTTTGTAACAACACATTGGAATTTAAAACAATGTTTATGTAATTTTTCATTTAGTTACGCAGTAGAGAAATTCAGACTTGTGAATTACATTTCTGAATATCCAGTGAACCAATTTCCCTGTAAGTAATAGAAGATGGAGTTTGACCCAAAATCTGCCATCTGTACTTGTGATAGGGGGGAAGAGCTGGTACAATACCCAGTACAATTTCTCTGTGTCCATATTCATGTCCAAACACTGACTGCATCTTTATTTCATAAAGCATCCACATATGGGTGTGAATCATTACATTTTTTACCCCCAAAACCCAAACTCTGAAGTCATGCAGGATTGCAGGTTGGTATTGTTCCCTACTGTCATTGACAGAAACTGATTTAAACTAGAAGTACTTCCCTTGTTCTAGCTATAAATAAACCTTGACCTCTAAGATATATACTATATTCATGTATTTTTTATACAGCCATTAACTGGCTGATATAAATCCAGTTTTTTTTATTACGATATTCATCTACAAAATAAATAAAAGTACCTGTGCAAATATCCACAAATTGAAGTGTTCACATTTAAGACATTGGCGCCCTCCAGTGGCTTGTTGTGGGCATTGCCCTAGGGTCCACTGGAAGGAGCTGATTCAAGTCAAAGCAAAGTGCATTGAGGTCTATATTACCTAATGCTAATATACACCACAATGTTATAGGACATAGGACTGACCCTCTTCAGGTCAATACGTCTGTCTGTCTGTACTGTCAAGGGCGGTGAAATGTAGTAGACTAGTATTATTCTCCTATATATAGGGGATCCTGTCATGGGGCAGACCAAACAGCACAAGGAGGTTGAGAAGAGATGATTCAACAACATGTCTGTGAAGTAGATGACAGTTGGGAGTGATTCCGAAAAAAGAAACGACAGGAGGAGGATCGCAAAAACAAACTGACATACAGACAGCAAAAACACTTGTGGTGAAGATCAAACCCTACATGATCACTTTGGTCTGACTGGTTAAGTCACCAAGCGCAAAAAGCCACAACCGAGATCGAGAGCATTAACAGTAAATAACCAGGCAGACATCTTGGTCTCTGTAGCCTACATGAACATCACAGTACATCATTTAGTCTAATCAGGAGGACGGTGAGGAAGCCTTTTTGAGCTTCTTATTTTCTAACATTGAACTTCTACTGTATGTAGGCATACTGTCAGAGGAGCAACAGGGAAAACACAGCATCCCAGTCACACTGTCTTTATGTCGCTCTCTCTCTCTCTCGCTCTCTCTCTAAATGACTCCTCTGCGTTTCTATGCACTTCCCCTACATCCCACAGCAGTCGACCCCACATGAAAAAATACTATATTATACTATGGTAAAAATACTGTAGTATTACTATATTTATATACTATAGTATTCACTGTAGTGTTTTTGCAGACTTTACTTTAGTATTCAATTGTAGTGTTTTTGCTGACATGACTGTAGTATACTGTAGTATTTACTGTAGTGATTTTGCAGACATGACTGTAGTATACTGTAGTATATACTGTAGTGTTTTTGCGAACATGACTGTAGTATACTGTAGTATTTACTGTAGTGATTTTGCAGACATGACTGTAGTATACTGTAGTATTTACTGTAGTGTTTTTGCAGACATGACTGTAGTATTTACTGTAGTGTTTTTGCAGACATGACTGTAGTATACTGTAAAAAAATACATGTTTTATTGTCACATACACCGGATAGGTACAGTGAAATGTGTTGTTTTATAATCAGCCATAGTAGTTCGGCACCCCTTTAGCAAATTAGGGTTAAGTGCCTTGCTCAAGGGCACCAACAGATTTTTCACCTTGTCGGCTCAGGTATTTGAACCAGCAACCTTTCGGTTACTGGCCTCAATGCTCTAGGCTCCCTGCAGCACTGTAGGAAACCTACAGGACAAATACTAAAATAGCTAATTTTATATAACCTGTAGGTAGGTAGGAATTGAGTCTGAACGGATAGTTTAGAGCTTCTGTTCTTTTATATAACCTGTAGGGAACACAATATATGGTCTATACTTGACATGTAGGTTTCTCACTCATGGGTGGCACAAATTGGGGTACGGGGTATTGGAATGGGTGGGGTATATGCAAATTAATATTGTAGTATTACTATAGTTAAAACACTGTAGTGTTTTTGCAGATACTGTAGTATTTTTGAGGAAATTACTGTAGTATTTACTATAGTATTCTACAGCATACTACAACATTCTATAGTAAGCACTACACGATCGAGGGATACTACAGTGTGGAGTATACTATTCTACAGTATACTACAGTTTACTACATCATTCTATAGAATTCTATAGTAAGTACTAATATTTTACATAACAAACTGTAGTATTTTGTCATGTGGGACAGTCATCAACAGTAGACAAAACCAGTTTGATCTGAAGTTCACCAATGTCAAAATGTTGAAGGATGTCAGAGTAGAGGCACCAGCGTGTGTAACAGTAGGAATGGGATTGGGTGGTTTCAGTTACCTCAGAAAAAAACTGATTTTGATGTTCAGATGGCTGAAGATAAATTGGCATGGCACGGAATAGAACCCCCCAAAAATTGCATTGCATCGCATTGCACTGAAAGAAATATGACTTACTCAAATACACAGAAATAAAGTATTTCAAATATAAATACATAAATAATCATGTATTTCAACCATTGTCTGTTCCATATTTGATTCACTATGATGTCTGACAGCTTTGCATTTTGGCAAGCCATGTGGCATTCAAGGGTGCAATGTTCGCAGTGAACCGCTTTTGCATGGATATATTATTTTGCCTTCCCATCACCCTTTCAGCCATTAGACATTGAGTTAGTTAATTGTTCCTCAGCATAACATAGTCTATGTAACTGTTTCATGACTTGAATTCAACTTTGTTGAAGAAAGGTAAAAGGGATAGATCATATTGTGAGAGGTAGGGGATAAAATGCTTAAAAACAGCTTGATATAATTATTGATAATGACCAGTTCCAACACAGACATTGATCCCAGCCAATCAGAGGGTTAAAATAGTTTCTCCGGAAAAGGAATTTGCCAATGGAATTACTTTGCAAAGGTGTGTGCAGGAAACCAAAGCTACAGGTAGCTAAAGAGGTATGAAGGTGAAAAAATAGCACTATGAACCACAGTTTTGATCTACATAGATTACGTTTTCATATTGCCACTGATGGAGCATGATGTGTACCAATGTGTATACTACCTGACCTTATACATTAACAAAGCTTATTATGGTGTGGGTTGTACAATACTACAAAACTGAAACCTATATCCGTCCAGTTTATATTTGTCATGTGCAGTAAGACTAACTGAGATAGATTCATGGTGTGCCCGAGAAAACATCCCCACCTACTACTTTATTTAGTTGATGATGATGTAAGTGGTAAATGGATTTGAAGGTTACCATTGGCTGGTTCAAAGTGTCTGTCAACTCCTCTGTCATTGCCAATAATTCAATCCTGCCCATACTGTGCACACAATGAAAAACAGAGCAAAATGTATTGCTACTTGTCAAATCATTGAGTTAACTGTCTCCCTATTTGTGCATGTTGTCCACAGGCGACAAGTCCTTGGATAATCACTTCATCAGTATCAATGTTCAAATGGGAGAAGAATTATGAAAAACACATACAGTGACACGCAGAAGACGATCAAAGACGGCGAGACACAATAAATGTTTTCGAGAATGTTTTCGATAGTGTCGGTTCAGAGGTGGTGATGGTTAAAAACCACAATGATATCAATCATAAAAGTAATAGTCATTATGGCTAGAGTTAACGCTAAAAAATATGAAGCTGGATTCCTCTCTGATCCGGATCCAGTGGATGAAGTTGGGGGGAGGGGGTGCTTGAGTATGTGTGGCGTGGGGGTGTTTGGGTGGTTAGGTTGAGACTGGTGTGGAGGGTGGTAGGTCTTTAGCCACATAAGAGACAGGGGGAAATGTATTTTTATTTCAGGTCCAGCCCCAAGTCCCTATATCTATTTCTCTTTCCATCCCCCATTATATTCAGAGTTCGAGGTCCTTCGAGATTTGCGTGGCGATGTCCCGGAAAGCGAGCGGTGCCCCCCAGAGTCGCGTGTAGCGCACCCCGTTGGAAGACTCATTGTTGGCGGCGCTGCCCCCCGTGGAGAGGTGGCACACCTCGGCCTCAAAGGCCACGCGACCACCGGCCGCCCCGTGGGTGCAGGAGAGCAGAAAGGGGCCGGCGTGGTGGACCTGGCAGCCGCAACCCCGTGCCGCCGCCCGCAGAGCCAGCACCACCTCCGCCGGGTCCCGTCGCCCCCCGGGTCCCCTCAGATCCCAGCCACGTCCGACGGCCCGGGGCTCGGCCGCTTTTTGATGCCCAGGTAAATGGCGACTGGAGACCAGAAAGGGACAGAAAAGAAGAAGGAGAAAGGACAGAGTGGTGGAAGAGTGGAGGAAAAAGGAGGAGAAAAGAGTTGTTAGAGGGAAAGGGGTAGTAAATGTGGGTAAGAAGAAAAACTTGAGATAACGGGTTGTTGAATCTAAGCTTAAATGTCCAGTTAAGGTGTGCAAGTTTACTGTCTGAAACATGAGTTCAAGATGGGTTGACGAAGGGTTGCTGGATATACTGACCTTGTGACATATACTGACCTTGTGACCGCAGATCGGCAGATTCCCTCAGGTTCATTTGTGACCCTGCATAGAGAACACACACACACACACAGTTAAAGGGAGAATCGGAGAAGTGATTTATGGGAGGTGCAGTTCCATGTCCACGAAGTACACAGTCATCATCCATCCACAATACTGTGAAGCCATTCAAAAAGAAAGGAAAATAAATCATAGAGTGAGGACAAACAAACAACAGCAACAAAAACCTCCAGGTGTTCATGGGTTGCACGTTGCATCACAATATTGTTATGAAAGTTCTATTGACTCCCGAGTGAATGTTCTACTCAATGCATTGTCAATTGGCGTTGATGAAGATTTAGTCTAAAGTGCATTATAGTGGCTTGGAAACATGTCATTTCTAAAGGAGGCAAATAATGAGTAGGAAAACCTTTTGTCTTCATTGTGATGTCGTCAGGTTAACTTTAGATGCAGTATAACCACAGATAGAACAAGGAGCCATATGTTTCACCAGATGTACAGTACCAGTCAAAAGTTAGGACACACCTACTCATTCAAGAGTTTTTCTTTATTTTCACTATTTTCTACATTGTAGAATAATAGTGAAGACATCAAAACTATGAAATAACACATATGGAATCATGTAGTAACCAAAAAAAGTGTTAAACAAATCAAAATATATTTTATATTTGAGATTCCTCAAAGTAGCCACCCTTTGCCTTGATGACAGCTTTGCACACTCTTGGCATTCTCTCAACCAGCTTCATGAGGTAGTCACCTGGAATGCATTTCAATTAACAGGTGTGCCTTCTTAAAAGTTAATTTATGGAATTTCTTTCCTTCTTAATGCATTTGAGCCAATCACTTGTGTTGTGACAAGGTAGGGGTGGTATACAGAACATAGCCATACTTGGTAAAAGACCAAGTCCATATTATGGCAAGAACAGCTCAAATAAGCAAAGAGAAACAACAGTCCATCATTACTTTAAGACATGAAGGTCAGTCAATACGGAACATTTCAAGAACTTTGAAAGTTTCTTCAAGTGCAGTCGCAAAAACCATCAAGCGCTATGATGAAACTGGCTCTCATGAGGACCGCAACAGGAAAGGAGGACCCAGAGTTACCTCTACTGCAGAGGATAAGTGTCCACATCACCAACAAACTAACATGGGTCCAAAACACACCAAAACAGTCGTGAAGAGGGCACGACAAAACCTATTCCTCCTAAGGAGACTGAAAAGATTTGGCATGGGTCCTCAGATCCTCAAAAGGTTCTACAGCTGCATCGAGAGCATCCTGACTGGTTGCATCACTGCCTGGTATGGCAACTGCTCGGCCTCTGACCGCAAGGTGCTACAGACGGTAGTGCGTAAGGCCCAGTACATCACTGGGGCCAAGCTTCCTGCCATCCAGGACCTCTATACCAGGCGGTGTCAGAGGAAGGCCCTAAAAATGGTCAGACTCCAGCCACCCTAGTCATAGACTGTTCTCTCTGCTACCGCACGGCAAGCGGTACCGGAGCGCCAAGTCTAGGTCCAAGAGGCTTCTAAACAGCTTCTACACCCAAGCCATAAGACTCCTGAACATCTAATTCAATGGCTACCCAGACTATGTGCATTGCCTCTCTATTGTTATTTTACTGCTGCTCTTTAATTATTTGTTACTTTTATTTTGTATTATTTTATATTCTATTTTTTTTGTGTGATTTGTTTTGGTATTCTTTCTTAAAACTGCATTGTTGGTTAAGGGCTTGTAAGTAAGCATTTCACTGTAAGGTCTACACTTGTTGTATTCGGTGCATTTCACAAATAACATTTCATTTGATTTGATGTTCATTAGAGTTAACTGCACCTCAGATTGCAGCCCAAATAAATGCTTCACAGAGTTCATGTAACAGACACATCTCAACATCAACTGTTCAGAGGAGACTGCGTGAATCAGGCCTTCATGGTCAAATTGCTGCAAAGAAACCACTACTAAAGGACACCAATAAGAAGAAGAGACTTGCTTGGGCCAAGAAACACGCACAATGGACATTAGACCGGTGGAAATCTGTCTGATGAGTCCAAATTTGAGATTTTGGGTTCCAACCACCGTGTCTTTGTGAGATGCAGAGTAGGTGAACAGATGATCTCTGCATGTGTGGTTCCCACCGTGAAGCATGGAGGAGAAGTTGTGATGGCGTGGGGGTGCTTTGCTGGTGACACTGTCTGTGATTTATTTAGAATTCAAGGCACACTTAACCAGCATGGCTACCACAGCATTCTGCAGCGATACGCCATCCCATCTGGTTTGTGCTTAGTGGGACTATCATTTGTTTTTCAACAGGACAACGACCCAACACACCTCCAGGCTGTGTAAGTGTTATTTGACCAAGAAGGAGAGTGATGGAGTGCTGCATCAGATGACCTGGCCTCCACAATCACCCGACCTCAACCCAGTTGAGATGGTTTGGGATGAGTTGGACCGCAGAGTGAAGGAAAAGCAGCTAACAAGTGCTCAGCATATGTGGGAACTCCTTCAAGAAAAGCATTCCAGTTGAAGCTGGTTGAGTGTGCAAAGCTGTCATCAAGGCAGTTGGTGGCTACTTTGAAGAATCTCAAATACACTTTTTTGGTTACTAAATGATTCCATATGTGTTATTTCATAGTTTGATGTCTTCACTATTATTCTACAATGTAGAAAATAGTAAAAATAACGAAAAACCCTTGAATGAGTAGGAGTCCAAACTTTTGACTGGTACTGTATAAATCTGAAGCATCCGGTTTGAAGTTCCACTCTCCAGCAAATATAGTGAGGAGAGGAAGCACCAGTGGCCGGCAGTGGAAGAATATGGAGCCAGATGGAACTGGGCCGACACGCTAATTTTCTCAGCGATGAAACATTTGATCTGAATACAGTTTGCTTTTCCCAAAACAATCATCTGTAACGAACAGAGTTGACTAGGTCTTGTAGACCTTACCCTTTGCCAAAGTTATAAAAAATTGTGTTGTTTAGAAGGAGGGCAATGGCGAATTTAGTTACTGCACATGCGCAGTTCACAGAGTAGGCATTCCTTAACGGAAATATGCAAACACATGCTAGAACGCGCCAATAGGATCTCGCTAGCTCGTTCTTGGCTCTGCCCACCTCCTTGCTTGTTCTGCCCACTATGCTTAATTTGCTCCCATTGGAAACGACAGGCTGTGGTGTATCTTGGGTTAGTTATAAAAAATATTTGGTGTAGCGTTAGATGGCTAGCTAAGAGTGAGCCTCCGTTCAGATGGCGTGACGCGAATAGGTGACGTAGGTGCAATCCATGAATACGGGTCAGAGTATGGAGTGATATCAATGCAATAGTACTAATATCACTCCATATCAGAGCGCCCTGACTCGATCAACATAGTCAAATAATAAGGCTGTATCATGTCCGGGAATCAACTGTCATTCAAAATAAAACAAGGGAGAAGACCTTATCCACTAGGACGGTGCCCCTGGAACAAATACTTATTTAAAGCAAGCCCTTACGTATAATAAAGGCTCCATAACACTTTCATAACAATGACAACAGATATCATAGGTGTCAGCTTATGACAACTGAGACCATGTTTACTGTATATCAGCCAATTGTCTAGCAAAACTGCAATAGCTAATTCATGGTTTGGGTCATGACAGTGTTAAGTCAGTTGCAATCATGACACCCGTTAAGTCATTGTTTTGACAGTAATATGTAGCCCTTATGATGCAGGGTTCAAGTAAAATGTAATCCCCCAGGCATGCCAAAGGAATTAACCAAAAAGCAGTGTGAAAGAGCTACAGAACAAAGACAAGTAGGTACAGACAGTCATACAGACAGACAGACAGACAGACAGACAGACAGACAGACAGACAGACAAGAATATAGACAGGAAAGGCATACGGACAGACATACAGTTGAAGTCAGAAGTTTACATACACCTTAGCCAAATACATTTAAACTCAGTTTTTCACAATTCCTGACAATTAATCCTAGTACAAATTCCATGTTTTAGGTCATTTAGGATCACCACTTTATTTTAAGAATGTGAAATGTCAGAATAATAGTAAAGAGAATGATTTGTTTTAGCTTTTATTTATTTCATCACATTCCCTGTGGGTCAGAAGTTTACTTACACTCAATGAGTATTTGGTATCATTGCCTTTAAATTGTTTAACTTGGGTCAAATGTTTCGGGTAACCTTCCACAAGCTTCCCACAATAAATTGGGTGAATTTTGGCCCATTCCTCCTGACAGAGCTGGTGTAACTGAGTCAGGTTTGTAGGCCTCCTTCCTCGCACACGCTTTTTCAGTTCTGCCCACATATTTTCTATAGGTTTGAGGTCAGGGCTTTGTGATGGCCACTCCAATACCTTGACTTTGTTGTCCTTAAGCCATTTTGCCACAACTTTGGAAGTATGCTTGGGGTCATTGTCCATTTGGAAGACCCATTTGCGACCAAGCTTTAACTTCCTGACTGATGTCTTGAGATGTTGCTTCAATATATTCACATAATTTTCCTTCCTCATGATACCATCTATTTTGTGAAGTGCTCCTGCAGCAAAGCACCCCCACAGCATGATGCTGCCACTCCTGTGCTTCACGGTTGGAATGGTGTTCTTCGGCATGCAAGCAACTCCCTTTTTCCTCCAAACATAACGCTGGTCATTATGACCAAACAGTTTATTTTTGTTTCATCATACCAGAGGACATTTCTCCAAAAAGTACGATCTTTGTCCCCATGTGCAGTTGCAAACCATAGTCTGGCTTTTTTATGTTTTGGAGCAGTGGCTTCTTCCTTCCAGAGCGACCTTTCAGGTCATGTCGACATAGGATTCGTTTTACTGTGGATATAGATACTTTTGTACCTGTTTCCTCCAGCATCTTCACAAGGTCCTTTGCTGTTGTTCTGGGATTGATTTGCACTTTTCGCACCAAAGTACGTTCATCTCTAGGAGACAGAACGCGTCTCCTTCCTGAGCGGTATGACGGCTGCGTGGTCCCATGGTGTTTATACTTGTGTACTATTGTTTGTACAGATGAATGTGGTACCTTCAGGCATTTGGAAATTGCTCCCAAGGATGAACCAGACTTGTGGAGGTCTACAATTCTTTTTCCTGAGGTCTTGGCTGATGTCTTTTGATTTTCCCATGATGTCAAGCAAAGAGACACTGAGTTTGAAGGTAGGCCTTGAAATACATCCACAGGTACACCTCCAATTGTCTCAAATGATGTCAATTAGCCTATCAGAAGCTTCTAAAGCCATGACATCATTTTCTGGAATTTTCCAAGCTGTTTAAAGGCACAGTCAACTTAGTGTATGTAAACATCTGACCCACTGGAATTGTGATACATTGAATTATAAGTGAAATAATCTGTCTGTAAACAATTGTTGGATAAATTACTTGTGTCATGCACAAAGTAGATGACTAACTGACTTGCCAAAACTATAGTTTGTTAACAAGAAATGTGTGGAGTGGTTGAAAAACAAGTTTTAATGACTCCAACCTAAGTGTATGTAAACTTCCGACTTCAACTGTACAGGCATACAGACAGACAGACAGACAAGCATACAGACAGTCAGGTAAGGCAGACAGACAGACAGACAGACAGGTAAGGCAGACAGACAGAGAGGTAAGGCAGACAGACAAGCATACATACAGGTAAGGCATACAGACAAACAGGTATACAGACAGGCAGGCAGGCATACAGACAGGTAAGTACTAGGCACATGGGAAGTTAGAGAAAGGCAGACATACAGACAGACAGGTCGGTAAGACATAGACAGGTAGACATGCAGAAAGACAGACACAAAGGTATGTAACAGAAAGGCAGACCGATAGGTAAGTAAACAGGAACACCGTCAGACAGGCACGCACACACACACACACACACACACACACACACACACACACACACACAGTGTTAGTATGTCCAGAAGGTAGGCAGGCAAGCAGGCAGGCAGATCGACAGAGAGAAGCTAGAGACATGGGAACTTACTAACTGTTTTTGATCCCTGGGGAAGGGTACAACCCGAGACTGATTTGTTTGAGCCCTGGCGCTTAGAGGGTTCAAGATTGACCCTGATGTAAGGAGAGGAAGAGGAAGCGCAAGAGAGAGAAATAGAAAAATAAATGGGAGAGGAGGGGGAGAAAGAGAATATATTTGAAACATGGCCAAGGGAGTGGTGGATAACAGCACAGCTGTAGCTGATTGGCATGGAGGAAGCATATGTTTCATTACATTACATATATGTGATTATACTGTATATTAAAGCTGATTCCAGGCAGAGATGGGTTAGCTCTCTATGTCAGGACCCAGGGCCGTGGCCTGTAACTTTTTGCAACAGAGAATGATAATTGGTGATCTTCTTGAACAAATTCAGGTAGTATGCATACCTCCCCCGTTTCCCCTTCTAAACACGACCCAGGTCCACGATTACCTGCTTGTGAGTTTGGAGGCAGGCATTACGGAGGCGACTACTACTATTCACTGAGGTGATAGTCCCCTGCATTTGGAGGCGAGTGTTACTGAGGTGACTGTTACGGAGGTGACCGTTACGGAGGTGACCGCTTACCTGCGTGTGAGTTTGGAGGTGAGCTTGGTGAAGAGGTTGGAGGTGGCACGGCTGCGGGCGTGCGGCAGGGGACTGGCGTCATGGTGGGACAGCGTGGGGGAGGTGGGCGGGGCCGAGTAGACGGGCGGGCCCCGGTCCCTCAGCTGGCCCCCGTGAAAGGTGCTCCGAATGGTGGAGCCCCGTGTCAGACGGCAGCGCTCGCTAGAAGAGGAGGAGGAGGCCCCGGCCCCAGCCCCAGAGATGCTCAGCGTGGAGGGGGATGTGGGGGGCAGGCGGTGGGACAGGGAGCTGGAGCAGAGAGACAATTAGAATTAGACAAATGTTACTGTCCACACAAAGTGGAAGTTTGTCTTCGACTTCACAATAAAATGGTTGACAAAAAACAACACTAAAAACGGGGCGCCAGGTAGCCTAGCGGTTAGAGAGGCGACCCAGCAGCCAGAGAGTTGCCAGTTCAAATCCCGGGTCAGACGGGAAAAATCTGTCGGGAGGTGACCTGGTGGGAAATGGGAAGTGAGATGGCAACCAACCGGAGGGTTGCTGGTATCAAATCCTAGATGCCATTGCCTGCCTATGTCCCTTTCAGCAAGGCACTTAACCCCCCACAACAACAGCTCCCGAGCGCTCAGTGTGACAGCCCCCCCGCACCTCTCCAAAAGCCTGTATGTGTGTCTTTCGTTGGGATAAAGGAGAAGTTTTGTTTTTCACAATCAAATCTCTATTTTTGATGTAAATGGCATGTTATAGAAGGGTCCAGACACCTTTTCTGTGACTTCATTTGTTTTTCAGAAACTTACCCCAAACAGCAAATCACCCACTGGGCACAGATGTAGATGCAACCTCTATTCCACGTTTGTTCAACATTTACATTTTAGTCATTTAGCAGACGCTCTTATCCAGAGCGACTTACAGTTAGTGAGTGTATACATATATATATATTTTTTTCCATACTGGACCCCCGTGGGAATCAAACCCACAACCCTGGTGTTGCAAACGCCATGCTCTACCAACTGAGCTACATCCCTCCCGGCCATTCCCTCCTCTACCCTGGACGACGCTGGGCCAATTGTGCGCCGCCCCATGGGTCTCCCGGTCGCGGCCGGCTACAACAGAGCCTGGATTCGAACCAGGATCTCTAGTGGCACAGCTAGCACTGCGATGCAGTGCCTTAGACCACTGCGCCACTCGGGAGGTTCAACATACACTACGAGTCAAAAGTTTGGACACACCTACTCATTTAAGGGTTTTTCTTTATTTTTACTATTTTCTACATTGTAGAATAATAGTGAAGACATCAAAACTATGAAATAACACATATGGAATCATGTAGGAACCAAAAAAGTGGTGTTAAACAAATCCAAATATATTTTATATTTGAGATTCTTCAAAGTAGCCACCCTTTGCCTTGATGACAGCTTTGCACACTCTTGGCATTCTCTCAACCAGCTTCATGAGGTAGTCACCTGGAATGCATTTCAATTAAACGGTGTGCCTTCTTAAAAGTTAATTTGTGGAATTTCTATCCTTCTTAATGTGTTTGAGCCAATCAGTTATGTTTTGACAAGGTAGGGGGGGTATACAGAAGATAGCCATTTTATGGCAAGAACAGCTCAAATAAGCAAACAGAAACGACAGTCCATCATTACTTTAAGACATGAAGGTCAGTCAATACGGAACATTTCAAGAACTTTCAACGTTTCTTCAAGTGCAGTCGCAAAAACCATCAAGTGCTATGATGAAACTGGCTCTCATGAGGACCGCCACAGGAATGGAAGACCCAGAGTTACCTCTGCTGCAGAGGATAAGTTCATTAGAGTTACCAGCCTCAGAAATTGCAGTCAAAATAAAAGCTTCACAGAGTTCAAATTACAGACACATCTCAACATCAACTGTTCAGAGGGGACTGTGTGAATCAGGCCTTCATGGTCGAATTGCTGCAAAGAAACCACTACTAAAGGACACCAATAATAAGAAGAGACCTACTTGGGCCAAGAAACACAAGCAATGGACATTAGACCAGTGGAAATGTGTCCTTTGGTCTGGATGTGTCTTTGTGAGACGTGGTGTGGGTGAACGGATGATCTCCGCATGTGTTGTTCCCACCGTAAAGCATGGAGGAGGTGGTGTTACGGTGTGGGGCTGGTGACACTGTCTGTGATTTATTTAGAATTCAAGGTACACTTAACTGCATGGCTACCACAGCATTCTGCAGCGATACGCCATCTCATCTGGTTTGGGTTTAGTGGGACTGATGGAGTGCTGCATCAGATGACCTGGTCTCCACAATCCCCCGACCTCAACCCAATGGAGATGGTTTGGGATGAGTCGGACGGCAGAGTGAAGGAAAAGCAGCCAACAAGTGCTCAGCATATGTGGGAACTCCTTCAAGACTGTTGGAAAAGTATTCCAGGTGAAGCTGGTTGAGAGAATGCCAAGACTGTGCAAAGCTGTCATCAAGGCAAAGGGTGGCTACATTGAAGAATCTCAAATATAAAATATATTTGGATTTGTTTAACACCACTTTTTTGGTTCCTACATGATTCCTTATGTGTTATTTCATAGTTTTGATGTCTTCACTATTATTCTACAATGTAGAAAATTGTAAAAATAAAGACAAACCCTTGAATGAGTAGGTGTGTCCAAACTTTTGACTGGCACTGTAATTTCATTGAAATTACATGGAAACAATGATGATTTAACCAATGTGTTTTTGGAGCCTTTGTTCATGTTTTTTCAGGGCCCCCATACTACACAAGGAGGATGAGGAAGCGCCCACTGGGCACACACTGGGTACATTTCTAAAAAACAAGTGAAATCACAAAAAAGGTGTCTGGACCCTTCTAGAACATATAATTTACATACAAAATAGAGATTTGGTTGTAAAAAATTAATCTTCTCCTTTAAAAGCAGAAGTCAAATTTCGGTTGGACCTTGTGTTCAATTCACCAATAAATTGATCTTAATCTCTTAATCTTAATCATCATCAGGGGACATATTTGGGAGTCTCTCTCTCTCTCTCTCTCTCTCTCTCTCTCTCTCTCTCTCTCTCTCTCTCTCTCTCTCTCTCGCTCTCCCTCCCTTGTCCCTCCATGTCCTTTACCTGTTCTCCTTGCCATTCTGCAGCAGGGAGTGTCTGTCAGTGCTGGAGCGGTCCGTGCAGACGTATGTGTTCCGGCGGGTCATGGCACTTCCCGGAATGTTGTTCTGGGAAAGTAAGAGAGCGGGGTCAGAACAAATGACCAAATCAGACTTTACCATAGATACGATGGTGGTTGTCTTGAAGCATGTACCCAGGACAGGGACATTCTTGCTAAAATTACTATTCTATTTTATCTTGAGTTGTATTTTATATACACTACTGTTCAAAAGTAGCAAGCAATTGTTTTGTCCATTAAAATAACATCAAATTGATCAGAAATACAGTGTAGACATTGTTAATGTTGTAAATGCCTATTGTAGCTGGAAACTGCTGATTTTTAATGGAATATCTACATAGGTGTACAGAGGCACATTATCAGCAACCATCAGTCCTGTGTTCCAATGGCACATTATGTTTGCTAATCCATGTTTATCATTTTAAAAGGCTAATTGATCATTAGAAAACCCTTTTGCAATTATGTTAGCACAGCTGAAAACTGTTGTGCTGATTAAAGAAGCAATAAAACTGGCCTTCTTGAGACTAAACATAAACATGCCATTTAGCAGACGCTTTTATCCAAAGCGACTTACAGTCATGTGTGCATACAGTTTTACGTTGAGTATCTGGAGCATCAGCAATTGTGGGTTCGATTACAGGCTCAAAATGGCCAGAAACAAATAACTTTCTTCTGGAACTCGTCAGTCTATTCTTGTTCTGAGAAATGAAGGCTATTCCATGCGAGAAATTGCCAAGAAACTGAAGATCTCGTTCAACGCTGTGTACTACTCCCTTCACTGAACAGCGCAAACTGGCTCTAACCAGAATAGAAAGAGGAGTGGGAGGCCCCGGTGATCAGAAAAAGCTATATCTCAGACGGCCCATCTTAATCTTTTCTTTTTATTGGCCACTGAGATATGGCTTTTTCTTTGCAACTCTGCCTAGAAGGTCAGCATCCCAGAGTTGCCTCTTCACTGTTGAGACTGGTGTTTTGCGGGTACTATTTAATGAAGCTGCCAGTTGAGTGTATATTTTGTACTTTTATTTCCCTTCTTTACCCATTGACTTTCTCTATTTTTGTTGTACTGTTGAGAGGTTAACCTGCAAGAGAGCATTTCATTGCACTTTGTACTCCATGTATATCATGTGTATATGACGAATAAACAAACTTGAACAATTCGCACTCGAGTGCGCACCAAACCACGCACTGTGGTTCGCGAAAAAACAATGGTCTCGGTCCGATTCCATTAGTACCTCGGTGTGGTTTGTATGGTAATATTTTATGTATCATTAAGGAAAATGTTGGGAAATGTCAAAGGTAAAATATAGTAAACATAATTGACATTTTATAATCCAGATGCATGTCTAAATAAGGAATATAGCCAATACAGTGTGTAAACATGCTTTAATGAATGTATGTATATTATTTTAAAAAGTGTCTGAGCCACGCCACCAATATAATGAGATAAGGGAAAGAGGCAAAAGCGCCCATGGTCTTTTGGAGTAAACAACATGTGTTGTTGGACTTTGAAAGATAATAGTGGCGTGGCAGTTAAAGATGTTAATCAGTTATCTTAAGGGGAGTAGCATTGTATGCTATGTAAACATGACTGTGCATTTGTGTGTGTATAAAAGAGATTTCTGAGCCAGAGAGAGACAGCCGTTCCATGGAGTGGCTCGGCTTTGTTACGCAAATAATAAAGTCAAATTTTTGGATTCACAAGCTCCAGTCTCTTGAGAGATATTTTTGAGTTGACTACTTTTGAGCCAAATATTTCTACGACATTTGCTGCAGGTGAGAATGCAGTCTGGACCAAACACAAGAAAATAACCAGAGTCCAGCAGTATTATTGGTTGTTTAACTGTGAGCATTAGATGAAATGCACACAATATCATAACTTTATATTTCTGAAACATTTTGTGAGTAGCTAGCAGCACATTTTTAAGCGCATCCGATGCAAAGTAGGCTACTGCCTGGGCCGGCTCTACGGGGTGGCAAAGCCGGGCATGGACCACCCAGATAGAATTTGTGCCCCCCCCAGTTATGTTTCCCCATAAACATAACAAATGATATATGAATTACAATGCCTGGTTTTGCCAATGTAGCGCTGCCGGGCCTGCCAGTAGTGCAGGCCAGGACAGAGGCTATATGGCGGGTGAGCGATCATGATCTGAGGAGGGGGGATGTAATAATGTAACATTTAGTAGTTAAAATACAATGCATTCTGATTGGGCACCTAGCCATGCAATTTAATAAGGTACCACCTTCATTAGCTTGTTTAGGAAGCACATTGGATCCCACCAGGGTGGGGTCAAATTGACCCGTTTTTTTTCACAGAGAGGGAAAAAAAGTTGTTCACTTTTGCAGACAGCTACAGCTAATAATAGGATAGCTTGTATATACTAGCTTCGTTAAGTTTTGGTAGCAGTGAGCTGAATAATTATAGCTGGCTAATCAGCATGGATATCCGAAAATGTCTGGCCACTGCCATGAGCAAAACACTGAGGACCACCATGTCGAGAGCGATGCCTAGCTCATTGAGCAACCTGCTGGCCCGACCACCGAGGTTGAGGAGCCTAGCATCAAATGTAATATCCGCCCATCCCCTATGCTGCCTGCTGACCAACAAGATGGAGAAGAGCCAGGGCCTAGCACCAACAGCACGAGGTTAACATCACAACAAGCACCTGCACCTCCGTTACTCCAACAAATAGCACCTGACGACCTGTTGGATTTAACCAAAACTGAACCAGTGGAAGCAGAGTGTATTGTGGTTTGCAAAGTGCATTTTTGCTAAGTGAAATCACAACCACAGCCAGCAACAACAAATGGACCCCACTCAGTGTTCTTCAAAGATATGGCGGGCCTTTGGTCAGCAATGCCGACTGTGCACTGAAACATGGATTATTTGGGACATCTACAGCAATGTGTGAAAATTCATTCTCCACCCTGAAGAACATATTCAGTGAACACAGACGCAGCATGTTACATCAACGAAAAGCCCAGCTTGTCGAGCTTGCATTTGAGATGGACCTGACAAGTACATTTAGCCAGAAAGGAGAATGAAATCAGAAACTTCTCATGAGGTTTAACAACATGGTGGATGCTGCAACTCTTCTAAATGGTAAGCTACAACCTTTATGGCTCTGGTTGCCGTGCCAGAATTAATTAGTTTTCCCTCATGTAAGCCTACCGGTTGTTTGGCAGATTTTTTAATGTAATGTCTAGTTTAGGCCTTTGCTTTTTACTTCAATGCATCTTTTAGAGATTCTTAATATCATTGCTTGCTTTTGCGGGTGTAATTGCTATTGATATATACAGTGGGGAAAAAAAGTATTTAGTCAGCCACCAATTGTGCAAGTTCTCCCACTTAAAAAGAAAAATCACATTGTAGGATTTTTAATGAATTTATTTGCAAATTATGGTGGAAAATAAGTATTTGGTCACCTACAAACAAGCAAGATTTCTGGCTCTCACAGACCTGTAACTTCTTCTTTAAGAGGCTCCTCTGTCCTCCACTCGTTACCTGTATTAATGGCACCTGTTTGAACTTGTTATCAGTATAAAAGACACCTGTCCACAACCTCAAACAGTCACACTCCAAACTCCACTATGGCCAAGACCAAAGACCTGTCAAAGGACACCAGAAACAAAATTGTAGACCTGCACCAGGCTGGAAAGACTGAATCTGCAATAGGTAAGCAGCTTGGTTTGAAGAAATCAACTGTGGGAGCAATTTTTAGGAAATGGAAGACATACAAGACCACTGATAATCTCCCTCGATCTGGGGCTCCACGCAAGATCTCACCCTGTGGGGTCAAAATGATCACAAAAATCCCAGAACCACACAGGGGGACCTAGTGAATGACCTGCAGAGAGCTGGAACCAAAGTAACAAAGCCTACCATCAGTAACACACTACGCCGCCAGGGACTCAAATCCTGCAGTGCCAGACGTGTCCCCCTGCTTAAGCCAGTACATGTCCAGGCCCATCTGAAGTTTGCTAGAGTGCATTTGGATGATCCAGAAGAGGATTGGGAGAATGTCATATGGTCAGATGAAACCAAAATATAACTTTTTGGTAAAAACTCAACTCGTCGTGTTTGGAGGACAAAGAATGCTGAGTTGCATCCAAAGAACACCATACCTACTGTGAAGCATGGGGGTGGAAACATCATGCTTTGGGGCTGTTTTTCTGCAAAGGGACTAGGACGACTGATCCGTGTAAAGGAAAGAATGAATGGGGCCATGTATCGTGAGATTTTGAGTGAAAACCTCCTTCCATCAGCAAGGGCATTGAAGATGAAACGTGGCTGGGTCTTTCAGCATGACAATGATCCCAAACACACCGCCCGGGCAACGAAGGAGTGGCTTCGTAAGAAGCATTTCAAGGTCCTGGAGTGGCCTAGCCAGTCTCCAGATCTCAACCCCATAGAAAATCTTTGGAGGGAGTTGAAAGTCTGTGTTGCCCAGCGACAGCCCCAAAACACCACTGCTCTAGAGGAGATCTGCATGGAGGAATGGGTCAAAATACCAGCAACAGTGTGTGAAAACCTTGTGAAGACTTACAGAAAACATTTGACCTGTGTCATTGCCAACAAAGGGTATATAACAAAGTATTGAGAAACTTTTGTTATTGACCAAATACTTATTTTCCACCATAATTTGCAAATAAATTCATAAAAAATCCTACAATGTGATTTTCTGGATTCTTTTTCTCATTTTGTCTGTCATAGTTGACGTGTACCTATGATGAAAATTACAGGCCTCTCTCATCTTTTTAAGTGGGAGAACTTGCACAATTGGTGGCTGACTAAATACTTTTTTCCCCCACTGTATACACAACTTTGTGTTATTTGATGGGTATAGGGACAATGACCAATGTAGCCTAATTGGTTGTGCTCTGAGGTGAGCCCTGGCACAGTGCTCCTGTTGTCCTGACTGTCCACTCCGGTGGTGCTGAAATTGGCTGTGCATCTAATATTATCCTTTCATCGCGCTGACTGCAGTAGCCTTCTGTCCATAGTCCTGAATCTATGGTTACGGTGTGGCGTTATGACTTGCATAAACAAATGGTTTTGTATATGCATTTTTGTCTGTTTGACATTTGGCAATGTGAAACCGACCGGACCAAATGAAGAACTATAGCAAACAAACTTGTGTGAAAACGCCCTTACATTTTACCCTGTGGAAATGTGTCCACACAAGTCTTATAGCTAGCAGCCATTTGCTAACCTAGAGTATGTCCAAAATGGCACCCTTTTTCCTGTGTAGTAATAAACTACTTATGGAATAAGGTGCCATTTCAAATGCAGCCCTATAAACCCCCGCTACCCAACCCACCCGTCCTACCTCACTGTTCCTCACCGTGGTGGCAGTCATCTCCTTTCGGCGGTCGGGGATCTCTGACTTGTTGGGGTTATTGGCGCTGCTGACCATGGGACTGGAGGGTGGCAGCGAGCGGCTGCCCATCACGCTGCAGCTGGCCTTACGCGGGGGCATGCGCCCCTCCCGCAGCTCCCGGTCGCCCGTGCTGGTGGGGCTCCGCTTGGGGTGCATGACCGGCATGGAGGGCCCGCCTGAGGGGGGAACACACATGTTAACACCGGAGCGACCACTCTGCCACTTCTCACAATGGTGCTAGATTAGTAAAGTTAGATCAAAGCTGAATATGATGTATTTCAAGATCACATAATCATGAATTGGTATTCTACATAACATAACCAAATATAATAACATAGTATAACATTACTGTTACACCAAAAACACCACCTAATTTCTTATGAGATTTTAGGATGTTAGCTGAATAGTAAATAAAAAAATTGAATGTGGCCAAAACTCAACAGCGTGCCACTAGACAGAATGTGCTTTGACTGAAACAAAATACAGGAAGGCTATATAGTTTGCTAACACCATCTGCTCTAATTGGCTCAGGGTAATTCAAGAAGAACTAAATGCATATTCCCATGAAACTGATTGAGATCAAATGATTGGCATAAAGATGCAATTTGGACGTTTCACCGTAAAACATGAAGAATTATCATTCACAGTTGACAGTGATGATTGTCTATTTTGAAATTAGGTATGCCTAACTTGGTGTTTGAGGGTATTAAAAATATAACATTTTCTTTTGACAATATGGGGGGGCGGGTTATGAGACGGTGAGGGAAGGTACATTACAGTAGAATCTACAGTAGAAAGTAAACAAGAGGGTACAGTAGAAGGTGCAGCAGAATGCACAGTAGAACACTCACAGAAGTCACTGTGCCGCCGCTGCCTGTGATAGGTGGAGGCGCTGCGCTGGGTCTTGCTGTGCGAGGAGGAGGAAGATGAGGAAGAGGAGCCTGCAGTGGCCGAGGAGAGTTTGTTGGTCCCGTTGGTGATGGGGCTGGGCCGGACCCGTGCCAGGGACAGGGTACTGGCCGAACGAGACTCGCCGCCTTCCTGTTACCAAGACAACCACAGCGCAGGTGTTAACCAGCTGCATGGACTAAATGTGGAGCCACCAAGAGCACAATTTCTTTCTGTGTACGTATATGTTGTTTTACATTCACATAATACGCCTACATAAATATCTATTGTTTGCCTACATAATTCTTCATCAAATAAGCCATTTTAGTATGTCCTAAATCCAGTATACATACTGATTACTAGGGCTGCAGTGTATTTCTGTGTAATAGCGCATTGATATCTTGTGCTGCCCTCTGGTGACCAGGCTCAGACTGCTCACCTCATTCTTGAGGCCCAGCAGTAGGTAGGTAGCGGTGACCTCGTTGTACTTCTGGTTGAGCAGAGCGTCCTTGATCTCCTCGGGAGTGAAGCCCATCCCCACCATCACCTCTGAAGACCACAAATAAGGGGAGATGGGGAAAAAGAAGGTGGCCATTTTGGAAATAATTTTAAGCTAAAGTTCATTTTAAGCTAACGTTTCATGAACAGATATTAACTGAAAGGATACTGTATCTGAAATGTGTTTCATGATAATGTCAAAAGGCATGAAGTGACCTGGCTAAAGAAGCCACGAGAGCCAAAATGGAAGAGTAACACATTGCCCTTAGAGCCAACATGGTGGATAGCAACCCAGTGGCCTGCACATAGCTGGCTCACCTATGCGAGCGGCATCACTGTAGTCCTCAACAGGCTCTATATGGGGCTTCAAGGAATCCTCATCATACCCTGCGTTTATCCACTTGTCCTTCATGACTTGCTGTGGAGATCACAACAAGATTCCATGTTAGAGAGTAGCTAAAGTTGGAAATCCTGTGTGTGTGTGTGTGTGTTGGGGTTCTGGGGATGTAGGTGATATTCCTGTTATGGTGGTTTGTAGGGCCGGTGGCGATACCAGTATTGCAATACTCATTAGTATCGTGGCAAGGAAACAAAACACAAAGCGGATTTAACTTTAGGAAAACCACCCTAATGTTGGAAACAAACATCATTATGTTGTCATCCCGAGTCACATGTATTTATTTTCCAAGCTATAGCACACAATATTTTATATACAGCTGGTTTTTAAAAAGGACCAAAGAGATTGGTCTGCTTTGTGTAAAAAATGTTGCCATGGGAGAAAAAAAATGCGATATTGGTATGGTCCCGGCCCTAGTGGTTGGGGCTTTATTACATGTTGGGGTATTAGTGTGTGACACTAATAGCAATGTACACTGCTGTTACAGTGAGGGAAAAAAGTATTTGATCCCCTGCTGATTTTGTACGTTTGCCCACTGACAAAGACATGATCAGTCTATAATTTTAATGGTAGGTTTATTTGAACAGTGAGAGACAGAATAACAACAAAAAAATCCAGAAAAACGCATGTCAAAATTTTATAAATTGATTTGCATTTTAATGAGGGAAATACGTATTTGACCCCCTCTCAATCAGAAAGATTTCTGGCTCCCAGGTGTCTTTTATACAGGTAACGAGCTGAGATTAGGAGCACACTCTTAAAGGGAGTGCTCCTAATCTCAGCTTGTTACCTGTATAAAAGACACCTGTCCACAGAAGCAATCAATCAATCAGATTCCAAACTCTCCACCATGGCCAAGACCAAAGAGCTCTCCAAGGATGTCAGGGACAAATTTATTTGCATTTTAATGAGGGAAATAAGTATTTGACCCCTCTGCAAAACATGATTTAGTACTTGGTGGCAAAACCCTTGTTGGCAATTACAGAGGTCAGACGTTTTTGTAGTTGGCCACCAGGTTTGCACACATCTCAGGAGGGATTTTGTCCCACTCCTCTTTGCCGATCTTCTCCAAGTCATTAAGGTTTCGAGCCTGACGTTTGGCAACTCGAACCTTCAGCTCCCTCCACAGATTTACTATGGGATTATGGTCTGGAGACTAGCTAGGCCACTCCAGGACCTTAATGTGCTTCTTCTTGAGCCACTCCTTTGTTGCCTTGGCCGTGTGTTTTGGGTCATTGTCATGCTGGAATACCCATCCACGACCCATTTTCAATGCAGGTTCTCACCCAAGATTTGACGGTACATGGCCCCGTCCATCGTCCCTTTGATGTGGTGAAGTTGTCCTGTCCCCTTAGCAGAAAAATACCCCCAAAGCATTATGTTTCCACCTCCATGTTTGACAGTGGGGATGGTGTTCTTAGGGTCATAGGCAGCATTCCTCCTCCTCCAAACACGGCGAGTTGAGTTGATGCCTAAGAGCTCAATTTTGGTCACATCTGACCACAACACTTTCACCCAGTTCTCCTCTGAATCATTCAGATGTTCATTGGCAAACTTCAGACGGGCCTGTATATGTGCTTTCTTGAGCAGGAGGACCTTGCGGGCGCTGCAGGATTTCAGTCCTTCACGGCGTAGTCTGTTACCAATTGTTTTCTTGGTGACTATGGTCCCAGCTGCCTTGAGATCATTGACAAGATCCTCCTGTGTAGTTCTGGGCTGATTCCTCACCATTCTCATGATCATCGAGGTGAGATCTTGCATGGAGCCCCAGGCCGAGGGAGATTGAGAGTGTTTTGTGTTTCTTCCATTTGCGAATAATCGCACCAACTGTTGTCACCTTCTCACCAAGCTGCTTGGCGATGGTCTTGTAGCCCATTCCAGCCTTGTGTAGGTCTACAATGTTGTCCCTGACATCCTTGGAGAGCTCTTTGGTCTTGGCCATGGTGGAGAGTTTGGAATCTGATTGATTGATTGCTTCTGTGGACAGGTGTCTTTTATACAGGTAACAAACTGAGATTAGGAGCACTCCCTTTAAGAGTGTGTTCCTAATCTCAGCTCGTTACCTGTATAAAAGACACCTGGGAGCCAGAAATCTTTCTGATTGCGAGGGGGTCAAATACGTATTTCCCTCATTAAAATGCAAATCAATTTATAACATTTTTGACATGCGTTTTTCTGGATGTTTTTGTTGTTATTCTGTCACTCACTGTTCAAATAAACCTACCATTAAAATTATAGACTGATCATTTCTTTGTCAGTGGGCAAACGTACAAAATCAGCAGGGGATCAAATACTTGTTTCTCTCACTGTATACACTTTTTACACTACAGAGCCAAACCGAACCAAGCCAAGCCGTGCTGTACTGGCATAGTTACACATCCACATCCACATCCACCATTGCTGAAACTATGCAAGAAAGGACAATGTGAAAAGAAAATATCGAAGCCAGTCCTATAGTGTGAATCAGGCATGGGTGGTTGGTCCTCCTCACATCTAGGGTGCAGCGCTTGGTGGGATTGAGCACCAGGAACCGGCGTAGGATCCCCTCGCAGTCGGTGGACATGTAGAAGGGCACACGATACTTCCCCCTCAGGACGCGCTCACGCAGCTCCTGTGGGCAGTGATAAACACACACATACACACACGTTTTTAAGCACACACCGAAAACACACACCAAACGCGGATTGTCAACCACAGACCGAAAACACATGAAAACATAAATAGTCAAAACACACATCAAACAACAGGCCAACCCAGACACACACCAACACAGTACAGTAGAAATAAGACATCCATTGTACACGCAATGCACTCTGCACTCATTACAACACTATATCCTATGAAGCATGCGGATTAGCAGCCACACAGCCACACACTCCGATGGGCAGGAGCTGCTGACCAGTGTGTACAGTATGACTCCCAGGCTACAGATGTCCACCTCTAACCCCCCCCCCCCCCACCCCCCCACCCCCACAACGCCTCACTGCCCCACCTCCCCCACACACACACACCTTGAGGTTCTGCCCATCGAAGGGCAGCGACCCTGACACCAGCGTGTATAGTATGACTCCCAGACTCCAGACGTCCACCTCAGGCCCGTCGTACTTCTTCCCCTGGAAAAGTTCCGGGGCAGCGTAGGGTGGGGAGCCACAGAACGTGTCCAGCTTGTTGCCCAGCATGAACTCATTACTGAAGCCGAAGTCGGCAATCTTGATGTTGGCGTTGGCATCCAGCAGGAGGTTCTCGGCCTGGAGGGAAGAGCGGGAGGAGAGAGAGTAGGGGGAGAGAAGGAGGGAGGAGGAAGGGGTGGAGGGATGCATGGAGCAGAGGGATGGAGGGATGGAGGGGGAGGGGGAGGGATGGAGGGGGAGGGAGAGGGAGAGGGATGGAGGGGGAGGAATGGAGGTATGGAGGTATGGAGGGGGAGGGATGGAGGGGGAGGTGGAGAGGGAGGGCAGTCATCCAGGATTTCTATAGATACAGTAGTCCGGAAATACTGGGAGAAGAAGTGACTCACACTCCGTCTGTCTGTGCTTATGTTCAGGGACGTAATATCCAATAACAATCAGAAGACTATCTCCTCTATCTATATCTATTTCCTCTATCCATTCCACATCTATAAATACATGTACTGTTCATCCATAAATGTTCACATCTATAAAATAGGAGGATGACTGACTGCACGGTCACAATGTTTATGTTTAGGATTATAATGACAATTACAAATAATGTACAATGAACAAAAATATAAATGCAACATGTAATGTGTTGGTCCCATGTTTCATGAGCTGAAATAAAAAATCCCAGAAATGTTCCATACACACTAAAAGCTTATTTCTCTAAAATGTTGTGCACAAATTTGTTTACATCCCTTTTAGTGAGCGTTTCTTATTTGCCAAGATTTGCCTGACAGGTGTGGCATATAAAAAAGCTGATTAAACAGCATGATCATTACACAGGTGCACCTTGTGCTGGGGACAATAAAGGGCCACTTTAAAATGTGCAGTTTTGTCACACAACACACTGCCACAGATGTCTCAAGTTTTGAGGGAGTGTGCAGTTGGCATGCTGACTGCAGGAATGTCCACCAGAGCTGTTGCCAGATAATCAAATGTTCATTTCTCTACCATAAGATGCCTCCAACGCTGTTTTAGAGAATTTGGCAATATGTCCAACTGTGTGTGTAACCACGCTAGCCCAGGACCTCCACATCCGACTTCTTCACCTGTGGGATCGTCTGAGACCAGCCACCCGGACAGCTGATGAAACTGTGGGTTTGCACAACCGAAGAATATCTGAACAAACTGTCAGAAACCGTCTCAGGAAAGCTCATCTGCGTGCTCGTCGTCCTCACCAGGGTCTTGACCTGACTGTAGTTCGGCGTTGTAACCAACTTCAGTGGGAAAATGTTCACCTTCCATGTCCACTGGCACGCTGGAGAACTGTACTCTTCACGGATTAATCCCGGTTTCAACTGTACAGGGCAGATGGCAGACAGCGTGTAAATCAACATTGTGAACAGAGTGCCCCATGGTGGCAGTGGGGTTATGGTATGGGCAGGCATAAGCTACAGATAACTAACACAATTGCATTTTATCGATGGATACCGTGACGAGATCCTGAGGCCCATTGTCGTGCCATTCATCGGCCGCCATCATGTAACCATGTTTCAGCATGATAATGCACGACCCCATGTCGCAAGGATCTGTACACAATTCCTGGAAGCTGAACATGTCCCAGTTCTTCCATGGTCTGCATACTCACCAGATATGTCACCCATTGAGCATGTTTGGGATGCTCTGGATCGACGTGTACGACAGCATGTTCCAGTTCCCGCGAATATCCAGCAAATTTGCACAGCCATTGAAGAGGAGTAGGACAACATTCCACAGGCCACAATCAACAGCCTGATCAACTCTATGCGCTGCATGAGGCAAATGGCGGTCACACCAGATAGTAACTGGTTTTCTGATTCACGCCAACAGATGCATATCTGTATTCCCAAATCATGTGAAATCCATAGATTAGGGCCTAATTAATTTATTTCAATTGACTGATTTCCTTATATGAACTGTAACTCAGTAAAATCTTTGAAATTGTTGCATGTTGCGTTTATATTTTTGTTAAGTGTATATTCAATCAGCATTCTCACCTTCAAGTCTCGGTGGACAATGTTCTTCATGTGGCAGTAGTGGACAGCAGACACGATCTAGAGGGCAGAGAGACAGGTAATCAGACAGACAGACAAACAGACACACAAACATACAGACAGGCAGATAGACAGACAGACAGACACACACAGACAGACAGGTTAGCAGGCAGCAAGCCAACCAGCAAGCCAGACCGAAAAGACAGACAGCCAGAGAGACAGACAGACAAACAAACAGGTGTGCGAGGCACCGTGGTCGTCATACCTGTCGAAATTTGGCTCTGGCTTCAATCTCCTTCATTCTACCATGAGATACGAGGTAGTCAAACACTTCACCTTAAAAAAAAGAGAGTGGTCAACATGATGATGAGGGAAATATTGTATGTGACAAAATATGTTTCAATGCATCATACTGTACACTCAATCTTCCTTAAACCCTTTCCTGGTTCCATAATGTACTCATATTGTGCTCGTAGAATCTGCAGTATTTTCAACCATCATTAACAGTTATTAAACTAATATGTTTCCAGTAGCTAATATCAAAGGCCTAACACTAATGTTATCATGACAGAGACTGTGGGGCTGTGGCCTGCTTCCTCCTAGATTTTATCCTAATGACATTTCAGCTGGTAGAAATATTTTCCCTGGCCACTAAACCCCCATCTTAAGCTATAAGCCTATTACCGAAATCCCCCACTACATTTACAATATAATTTCGTAGAACACCAAAGGTAAATTATGCAACATTCGGTTATGTTTACATACACATACAGTAGGAGTACGTAATGTACAAACCGTTGTATTCGGTTATGGTTTTGAGTCATCTCCATTGGTTTATTTATACTTTTCTCCCCTGTCAATCAAACACAAGCTAATCCGCCATTATGGAGACACAGTAGCTAGGACTATTGAAACAGACAGGAAGGCAGATGCACCTACCTCCACTGGCATACTCCATGATTAAGTAAAGGGTCTTATCAGTCTCAATCACCTCAAACAGCTGCACTGTAATAGGCACAAACAAAATCAGATTAAAAATAATATATAAATAAAATCCCCTATCGTAAAAATTAAATAAACACACATCTCTGTCTCTGCCTGCTAAAAACAGTGACGCCGGTCTAGTCTAATGCCATGTGTTTTCTTTTCTTTTTTATCCATATGACATTTCAGCTTTAGAAAATCCCCCTCCCCTCCCCTCCCCTCCCCAACCCAACCCTGGGCCCTCTATCCCCGGGCCTTGCTAGCTCCTGTATGTGCTAGTAGTGTAGCCTATTCAACACATACAGTGAGAGTCCTAGACAAAAGCCTGCTGTCTGGGTGGATGAGACAGGAGTGGACCAGCCATTTAGACTACAAACACTACTGTCAGTATGCTATGCTACCTTATGCTATTCTAAGCTATGCTATACTAAGTATACACAAACAAGATGGACTAGTACATTGACTGCGGACTACAAGTAGTCAAGCCATGGCCACAACATAAATATACAGCACTGCAGTAGCCTACAGATACAGTGCAGTCGGAAAGTATTCAGACCCCTTTACTTTTTCCACATTTTGTTATGTTACAGCCTTATTCTAAAATGGATTAAATAAATATAAATCTCAGCAATCTACACACAATACCCCATAATTGTCACGCCCTGGCTCTGGGGACTCTTAAATGTTGAGCCAGGGTGTGTAGTTTCTATGTTATATTTTCTATGTTGAGTTTCTAGATCGTGTAGATCTATGTTGGCCAGGGTGGTTCCCAATCAGAGGCAGCTGTAGCTCGTTGTCTCTGATTGGGGCCCATACTTAGGCAGCCGTTTGGCACCAGTCTGTGTGGGATCTTGTTCCGTATAGGTATGTTATTAGTCTACCTTGGACTTCACGTATCGTTTGTTTGTTGTTTTGTTCGTGTTCAGTACGTTAATAAATATGTACGCTTATCACGCTGCGTCTTGGTCCGTCTCTTCCGTAAACGACCGTGACAGAAGATCCCACCAAATGAGGACCAAGCAGCGTGCCCAGGAAGAGAGAATAGCGATGTCTCAGGTGGGCAAATGGTGGTCATGGGAGGAGATATTCGCAGGGAAAGGGCCATGGGCGAAGGTAAATGCCCAGGCAGGAGAGGAGAAACGGCGCCAACCGTGCCGACGACGGACACCCGAGAGGCAACCCCAATAAAAAAAATTGGGGGGGCACACGGCGTGGATGACGAGGCAGCAGGAGGCAGCGACAGGGCGAATCTGCAGACTAGGAGAGGAGGCCACCAGGTTACGGGGGTTATTGGTCCAGAGGGAGCAGGAGTTAATTGGTCAGAGGGAGGAGCTACAGGAGGCGATAAGGGAGAAGGAGAGTGTAGAGGCACGGCGAGAGGAGCTGGTTAGGCAGCAGGAGCGGGGGTTTATAAGGGAACCCAGTCCCGCTCCTCGCACCAAGAAAGTGGTGTGTGTCACCAGTCCGGTCCGGCCCGTTCCTGATCCCCGCACTAAGCCAGTGGTACATGTTCCCAGTACGGCCCGACCCATTCCTGCTTCCCGCACAAGGCCAGTGGTGTGTGTTCCCAGTACAGTCCGGCCCGTTCCTGTCCCTCGCGCCAAGCCAGTGGTGCGCGTCGCCAGCCCGGTCCGGCCTGTTCCTGCTCCTCGCACCAAGCCAGTGGTGCGCGTCGCTAGCCCGGTCCGGCCCGTTCCTGCTCCCCGCACTAAGCCAGTGGTGCGTGTTCCCAGTCCAGCCCGGCCAGTTCCTGCTCCCCGCACCAAGCCGGTGGTGCGCGTCGCCAGCCCGGTCCGGCCCGTTCCTGCTCCCCGCACCAAGCCAGTGGTGCGCGTCGCCAGCCCGGTCCGGCCTTTTCCTGTCCCTCACGCCAAGCCAGTGGTGCGCGTCGCCAGCCCGGTCCGGCCTGTTCCTGCCCCTCGCACCAAGCCAGTGGTGCGCGTCGCCAGCCCGGTCCGGCCTGTTCCTGCCCCTCGCACCAAGCTAGTGGTGCGCGTCGCCAGCCCGGTCCGGCCCGTTACTGCTCCCCGCACCAAGCCAGTGGTGCGTGTTCCCAATCCGGCCCGGCCAGTTCCTGCTCCCCGCACCAAGCCGGTGGTGCGCGTCGCCAGCCCGGTCCGGCCCGTTCCTGCTACCCGCACCAAGCCAGTGGTGCGCGTCGTCAGCCCGGTCCGGCCCGTTCCTGCTCCCCGCTCCAAGCCAGTGGTGCGTGTGTCCAGTCCGGCACGGCCCGTGCCTGTTCCACTGGTGCCTGGTCCGGCACCGGTCAGCTGCTCAACTCCGGAGCCAGAGCAATCCGCTCCACCGGGGTCCGGTCCAACTCCAGTCAGCGGATCCACTCCGGAGCCAGAGCAATACGCTCCACCGGTGCCCAGTCCAGCTCCGGCCAGCGGCTCCAGTCCGGAGCCTGTACAGTTCGTTCCACCGTCGTCGGGTCCAGCTCCAGTCAGCGGTGCCAGACCAGACCAGGGGCGCAACAGGGAGGTGTAGAGAAGGTGGTGGTTACGCCCGGAGCCGGATCCGCCTCCGAGGCGGAATGCCCACCCGGCCCCTACCCTGTTATGTTTATGGGGTGCGGTCGGAGTCCGCACCTTTGGGGGGGGGGGTACTGTCACGCCCTGGCTCTGGGGACTCTTAAATGTTGAGCCAGGGTGTGTAGTTTCTATGTTATATTTTCTATGTTGAGTTTCTAGATCGTGTAGATCTATGTTGGCCAGGGTGGTTCCCAATCAGAGGCAGCTGTAGCTCGTTGTCTCTGATTGGGGCCCATACTTAGGCAGCCGTTTGGCACCAGTCTGTGTGGGATCTTGTTCCGTATAGGTATGTTATTAGTCTACCTTGGACTTCACGTATCGTTTGTTTGTTGTTTTGTTCGTGTTCAATACGTTAATAAATATGTACGCTTATCACGCTGCGCCTTGGTCCGTCTCTTCTGTAAACGTCCGTGACAATAATGACAAAGCGAAAACAGGTTTTTTGAAATTTTAGAAAATGTATAACAAATATTTTATAAACAGAAATACCTTATTTACATAAGTATTCAGACCCTTTGCTATGAGACTCGAAATTGAGCTCAGGTGCATCCTGTTTTCATTGATCATCCTTGAAATGTTTCTACAACTTGATTGGAGTCCACCTGTGGTAAATTCAATTGATTGGACATGATTTGGAAAGGCATACACCTGTCTATATAAGGTCCCACAGTTGACAGTGCATGTCAGAGCAAAAACCAAGCCATGAGGTCGAAGGAATTGTCCGTAGAGCTCCGAGACAGGATTGTGTCGAGGCACAGATCTGGGGAAGGGTACCAAAAAATGTCTGCAGCATTAAAGGTCCCCAAGAACACAGTGGCCTCCATCATTCTTTAATGGAAGAAGTTTGGAACCACCAAGACTCTTCCTAGAGCTGGCCGCCCAGCCAAACTGAGCATTTGAGGGAGAAGGGCCTTGGTCAGGGAGGTGACCGAGAACCCAATGGTCACTCTGACAGAGCTCTAAAGTTCCTCTGTGGAGATGGGAGAATCTTCCAGAAGGACAACCATCTCTGCAGCACTCCACCAATCAGGCCTTTATGGTAGAGTGGCCAGACGGAAGTCACTCCTCAGTAAAAGGCACATGACAGCCCGCTTGGAGTTTGCCAAAAGGCACCTAAAGACTCTCAGACCATGAGAAACAAGATTCTCTGGTCTGATGAAACCAAGATTGAACTATTTGGCCTGAATGCCAAGCGTCACATCTGGAGGAAACCTGGCACCATCCCTACGGTGAAGCATGGTGGTGGCAGCGTTATGCTGTGGGGATGTTTTTCAGCGGCAGGGACTGGGAGACTAGTCAGGATCGAGGGAAAGATGAACAGAGCAAAGTACAGAGAGATCCTTGATGATAACCTGCTCCAGAGTGCTCAGGACCTCAGACTGGCGCGAAGGTTCACCTTCCAACAGGACAACAACCCTAAACCCACAGCCAAGAGAACGCAGGCGTGGCTTCGGGACAAGTCTCTGAATGTCCTTGAGTGACCCAGCCAGAGCCCGGACTTGAACCCGATGTAACATCTCTGAAGAGACCTGAAAATAGCTGTGCAGCAACGCTCCCCATCCAACCTGACAGCGCTAGAGAGGATCTGCAGAGAAGAATGGGAGAAACTCCCCAAATACAGGTGTGCCAAGCTTGTAGCGTCATACCCAAGAACACTCAAGGCTGTAATCGCTGTCAAAGGTGCTTCAACAAAGTACTGAGTAAAGGGTCCATTTTTTTTTCTTTATAAATTAGCAGACATTTCTAAAAACCTGTTTTTGCTTTGTCATTATGGGGTATTGTGTGTAGATTGATGAGGGGAAAAAACAATTTAATCAACTTTAGAATAAGGCTGTAACCTAACAAAGGGGTCTGAATCCTTTCCGAAGGCACTGTAGACATAGTGTGATCATGTGAATGACACAGACACACAGCATAAACACCAGCACAAATGCATATGATGGTTCAGTACCTACTAGCACAAATCCTTGATAGAAATATAGAATAGATACAACATAGCCCGTATCAACATAAACAAACCACACACACACACACACACACACACACACACACGTACACACACACACACACACCCTTAATGCAGGCCCTTACCTATGTTTGGGTGATTTAAACCTTTCATTATCCGAACCTCTCGAAAAAGCTATGAAAGGCAGAAGGATATGTGTTAGAAGTGAATAGAATACAAATAATATATATAGAACATATTCATATGGGGTCTTCAACTGAGAGTAAATGTTACAGCAATGTGTACCATGTGTTCTTTCAACATTTTATGCATTTTCAATTCATACTGCTGTAAGGCTTACACTTACAGTATTGGGAAGAAATCAGTTCAAATGCTTTGTCATAAAGCAGGATATTTAATTTGAGCCATCCATCTGGCTCATCTGGTTCACAATACATATAAGCTCCTAGCTTTGGGACACAACATCAGGAGTCTGTGTATTGGTTGGACTCCCTGAGCTGTGCCTCGTTCTGGTGGTTGGTGACAGAAAATAACCATACCACAATATAGCCGGCTTCACCCCAATAAAAGTTTCAACGTTTCCTGTCAACAAAAGTATAAATCTGTAGCAACTCTACTTACCAGACGTTAAGTGAAATGTGTCCCTCGATATCAATTTTTTTTTTTTATCCTCCTATTTTCCTACTGTGTAAACAGCGGTAGTCTCGCGTGAAGTGCGTGGTCTAATGGCAGCCCGCTGTCTAACTCGGCAGGAATATGGTGGGGTTCAAATCACTCGCTTTTCTATCCACTATCCTCCCCCTCTTTCTATATGTCTCTCTCTCCCTCCGTTTCCTCCTTCATTCTATCCTTTATTTTCTCAGTCTAAAGACTCTTGCGATGCCCAACGTCACTGTTGCCATAGCGACCCAGGTATTAAGACTAGGCCCTTCCCCGCTTCTCCAGCTGTGCCAGTGGGAATTTTGGGATACGATGTGTTTTGCCGTCGTCATCCTGAAATCCCAGAATTCCACAGACCAAACATGCCCCAGGCCATTCGCTATCTGACCTACTGTCACTGATATACCATTAATACAGTATATAGGGTACATTTACAGACAGATGCATTTGATTGTCAGTGTTATACCCATTTTATGAGATAAGGCTTATTAGTGCAAGTACTTAAATTGACACAGTTCTGACCACCTCTAGATAGCATTAACACTACCTAACGCTTCGCTCTCTCACCCCCCTCTCTCCTCTGTCTCTTTACCTCCCCCAACTCTCTCTTTCCCTCCCTTCTTTCTGCGTAACAGACCAGATTATGTTAATATGGCCTCTTTCATGTCTTCTGTATTGAGGATTTTCTCTAGCCACGGGCATGTAAAGCAGCCTGCTATCAACGCCAATTGTAGAGCGTTCTCTCGTCGCTAGCCAATCCCAGCCCGCTCTCGTCAATCTAGGCCAAATCTGATAGATAGTAGGTGTAGTCTCCGACAATGGCCCAATCGCATTGTTTGGTCTCAAGCAGCCGCCCAATCAGTCTCCTCTCTTGCACCGCTGCCCAATCGGAGATAAGTGAGAGAATTGCGGTGGATTTATCAAGGAAGGGCATAGGCATATGATCACAGATCCTGGTAAGACATGCCATCCAGGCAAGAACAGTGCATGTCAAGGGAAAGACAAAGTAGCCATGCATTAGAACCCACGCAGTGGCCATCTTTCTCTCTCACCACCCCCCCTTGCATCTCTCTCTCACCACCCCCCCCTTTCTCTCTCTCTATATATATATATCTCTCTCTCTCACTTTCACTCTCTCTCTCTCTCTCTCTCTCTCACTCTCCAGAGTAGCCGCGCTCCACAAAAACTCTCTCAGGTTTCCAGCTACTTCACTTTAGTCATTCAGTCATTGAATCAACTCACTTAATAAAGATGCCCCTGCCTGCTTACTCTGTGTAATGTCAATGGGAAAAGAGGGAGTTTATTAAGCATTTAAAGTCAGGTCCACCGTGACTGAGAAAACACAAATGGCCAATACTCACCTTCTGTAGGCTGGTTGGATTCAACTGAGTTTTGTCAATGATTTTTATTGCAACCTGGAGGAGACATGAGGAGAACATGAGGAGAACTTGGAGTCAGAGGAAGCGAAGAAGGACATTTTACAAACAAGCACAACGAGAAGACAAAAACATCCCAGTAGAAATACTAGTGGTCACTAAGGCCAAAGCTAATGGGGATCCATCTTAATAAAAGAACAACCACAACTACAGATCCCCCTCCCATCCACTTCCTACCCCCACCACTCACTCTACTCCTATCCATGACCAAGTCTCACCTCTCTGCCCTATATCCCAAGTCCCCCCCAATCACTACAACAACCCAATCCCAAGACCAGGATTCCCCAACTGATGGCCCGTGGGACGAATTTGGCCCGCAGGTGGTTTTATTCCCCCCTCCCCCCTCTCTCTCTTGCTCTGCCTCTCTCCACCTCCCCGCTTCTTTCTGTCTCCGTCTCTCTCTTTCTCCGCCTCTCTCATTCGCTCTCTCCACGCTTCTATCTCTCTCTCTCTCCGCGCCGCTCTTTCTCTCTCCCCGCCTCTCTCTCTCTAATTGTTGGACATAAAAGACTGTAAAAACACCAAAAATCAGCTCCAAGTGATTTTAATTCTGGAAATCTGTTCCCAAGTATTCCCACGCATAATAGAGAGACACGTGATCGTATACAAATGTAAACAAGGTTTGAAATGATTATGTTTTAGTCAAATATTATATCTGTTTTGGTATAAATATGGTGAAGCTTCCGGCTATGCTGGGTCTAGGGGTCGATTTGAGATTGGGCCCCATGCATCCATCCAACCCACTACCATATAAATATACACTATTTCATTCTATTTCTATGGCCACTACCCTTCCTTTGCATCATGTACCTTACCCAACAACCCCCCACCCTCCCCGTGCCCCAGCCTCACCTCCTTGCCCGTCAGGATGTGGCGGGCCAGCTTGACCTTGGCGAAGTTGCCCTTGCCGATGGTCTTGAGCAGGCGGTAGTTGCCGATGTGCGGAGTCTCGTCAGAGCAGGAGGCAATGGAGTTCCTGCAGCGGGCGCCCAGCGAGCGGCTGGACAGGCTGGTGCCCTTGTCTGAGCGGCTAGCAGCTAGGGACACATGCTGGGGGGAGAGTAGTGAGGGGAAAGGGGGGGTCACAACCAGCACCCTCATGACAACGACCACGCAAAGCCTGGGAACTCCAAGACCCTTTTCACACTATTCTGCCGACCCGAAACATACACTGAACAAAAAATATAAACGCAACATATAAAGTGTTGGTCCCCTGTTTCATGAGCTGAATTTTTATTTTTTCGCATACATTTTCTATATTCACAAAAAGCTTATTTCTCACATATTTTGTGCACAAATTTGTTTACATCCCTGTTAGTGAGCATTTCTCTTTTGCCAAGATAATCCATCCACCTGACAGGTGTGGCATATCAAGAAGCTTATTAAACAGCATGATCATTACACAGGTGCACCTTGTGCTGGGGACAATAAAAGGCCACTTTAAAATGTGCAGTTTTGCCACACAACACAATGCCACAGATGTCTCAAGTCTTGAGGGAGCATGCAATTGGCATGCTGACTGCAGGAATGTCCACCAGAGCTGTTGCCAGATAATTGAATGTTAATTTCTCTACCATAAGCTGCCTCCAACGTCGTTTTAGAGAATTCTAACCGGCCTCACAAACGCAGAGCACGTGTAACCACGCCAGCCCAGGACCTTCACAAACTCATTCTGATTGGCTGGGCCTAGCTCCCCAGTGGGTTGTCCTGGCTGCCAAGTGGGTGGGCCTATTTCCTCCCAGGCCCACCCATGGCTGCACCCCTGCCCAGTCATGCGAGATCCATAGATTAGAGCCTAATGAATTTATTTCAATTGACTGATTTCCTTATATGAACTGTAACTCAGTAAAATCTTTGAAATTATTGCATGTTGCGTTTATATTTTTTGGTTCAGTATACTTAGATGGCACTGATATTTTCTTTTCACATTGCTTTCTCCAGTACGCTTCCAGCAACTATGTTGGATGCGTAACCAGGCCAGCCAAGTGCAGCTCGGCTCAGTGGGGTGAAAAGGGTACAAGGCCAACTGAGAGACCAATAGCCCTTTTACACTACTGTGCCAACAGCTGACCTGAACCACACTACTGTGCTGGCTCGGATGGAAGGAATTGTATTTTCACATGGCCCCTTCTAGCACGGTTTCAGCAACTATGGTGGATGTGTAACCAAGCCAGTACAGTTTGGCTCGGCTCAGCTCGGCATGGTAGTGTTTAAGGTACTACTCTACTGGACTGGACATATAGCACGGTGGCTCTGGCTCTCCAATAGGACAGGGTAATACTGAGAGTGAATAGATCTAAGTAAGATAACAATGTTACATCAGTGTTTTCCCTAGATCCATTTGACCTGAAAGCAACACCCAGGACTGCTGGTACACCATAGTTCTACACTGAAATTATATTCTAAGTTGGTATATTATCTTTGATTTGGACATCATCATGCCTGGGCTACATTCAACAGGGCACAATGTTGTGGAACGTTTAGATAGAAACATATAATGTAGAACAGACATGTCTCTCTACACACATGTAGACTAAGGAACCATGTTCTATTCATGATATTTCTATTTGTGACGCTCCACACTGTAAAAAGTACCCAATTGTCATACTTGAGTAAAAGTAAAAGGTACCTTAATAGAAAATGACTTAAGTGAATGTCACCCAGTAAAATACTACTTGAGTAAAAGTCTAAAAGTATCTGGTTCTAAATGTACGTAAGTACAGTGGTGGAAAAGTAGTCAACTGTCATACTTGAGTAAAAGTAAAAAGTACAAGTAAATGCAATATATCAAATTCCTTATATTAAGCAAACCAGATGGCACCATTTTCATGTTTTTTTTAAATTTACGGACAGACAGGGGCACACTCAGACATAATTTACAAACTGAGTAGTTGTGTTTAGTGAGTCCGCCAGATCAGAGGCAGTAGGAATGACAACTCGTTATATTTATAAGTGCGTGAATTGTACCATATTGCTGTCCTGCCTGAGCATTCGAAATGTAACTTTTGGGTGTCAGGGAAAATGTATGGAGTAAAAAGTACATATTTTCTTTAGGAATGTAGTGAAGTAAAAGTAGTCAAAATATAAATAGTAAAGTACAGATATCCCCAAAAACGACTTAAGTAGTACTTTAAAGTATTTTTACTTAAGTACTTTACACCACTGGTGACTAGTCACATGATGTCCGTGTAAAATACTTAGTCAGGGGCCAAGATGACCGATGTCATTTCTAGCACTACAAATACTGAGCTAGTGTACCTCAAACCTGGGTTCAAATACTATTTGAAATCTTTCAAATATTTTGAGTGTTTGCTTTAGACTGCCTGGAGTGCAATTTGGGCATGATTTGCAATTTTGGGAGTTTTCTATCAGTTCCATTGCAAGAGGCAAGCTCAATCAAACACAGCTAAAGTATTTGAAATGATTTCAAATAGAATCTGAACCCAGGTGTGGTATGCATCACATGCTAGTAAGTGCTCGATTCCAGAACCCAACAGCTTTAGTACTAGGTGCTGTGAAGATCCAGTCCAAAGCTTGAGTCATGGCTAATTTTCAGTCATCCAGGCAGGCAGCAGAGCATAAGAAAAAGAACACCAATATGTTTTTTACAGGAACAAAGATAAATGTACAGCTCCTTGTCATGTGATCAAAAGGAAACAGGGCCCCAAAAAACGAGAGAATGAGATGCCAGTAGGAGAGAGAGAGAAAATACAGAGAGAAACAGAGAGAGAGAGGCGGAGAGAGAGAGAGACGGAAAGAGAGAGAGAGAGAGAGAAGCGCAGAGAGAAAGAGGCGGAGAGAGAGAGCGGAGCGAGAGAGAGGCAGCGAGACAGAGAGGCGGAGAGAGAGAGCGACGCTGAGAGAGAGCAGCGTGGAGAGAGAGAGAGAAGCACGGAGATAGAGAGAGAGAGATGCGGAGAGAGAGAGATGCGGAGAGAGAGAGAGGCGGAGAGAGAGAGAGAGGCAGAGAGAGAGCGAGCGAGAGAGAGAGCAGATGCAGGCACAGTGGTCCCTGGCCAGTCTCGAGGCCTGAGGCTTAACACTTCCATCCCCTCAGCATGTCCTCCTGCTTTCTGCCTGAATGGCAACCTATTCCCTTTAAAATGAACTACTTTTGAATAGGGCCCATCTGGTCAAAAGTAGTACACTAAATAGGGAAGAGGCCCATGGGGCTCTGGTCCAAAGTAGTGCACTATATAGGGAATAGGGTGTCATTTGGGATGCAGTAGTACACTAAATAGGGAAGAGGCCCATGGGGCTCTGGTCCAAAGTAGTGCACTATATAGGGAATAGGGTGTCATTTGGGATGCACATTTGCAATAAAGACATGGTCTCCACATAAATATTTGCTTCATCAAACAGCTCCTTGATAAACACACATGTCAGCAGAGAAATTACCATTTATGGAATCACATCTAAAGAGGAACCCCCATAAACAAGTGCATAGTAGGTTAACATTTACATTTTAGTCATTTAGCAGACACTCTTATCCAGAGCGACTTACAGTTAGTGAGTGCATACATTATATTTTTCATACTGCCCCCCCCGTGGGAATCGAACCCACAACCCTGGCGTTGCAAACGCCATGCTCTACCAACTGAGCTACATCCCTGCCGGCCATTCCCTCCCCTACCCTGGGCCAATTGTGCGCCGCCCCATGGGTCTCCCGGTCACGGCCGGCTACGACAGAGCCTGGATTTGAACCAGGATCTCTAGTGGCCCAGCTAGCACTGCGATGCAGTGCCTTAGACCACTGCGCCACTCAGGAGACTTGTAAGCAAATTAGATAGGCCTACAGTGCATTTGGAAAGTATTCAGACCCCTTCCCTTTTTCCACATTTTGTTACGTTACAGACTTATTCTAAAATTGATTCAATTATTTATTTTCCTCATCAATACCCCCTAATTACAAAGCGAAAACAGGTGTTTTGAAATGTTATCAAACTAAAAAACAGAAATACCTTAATTACATAACTATTTAGACCCTTTGCTATGAGACTCGAAATTAAGCTCAGGTGCATCCTGTTTCCATTGATCATCCTCTACAACTTGATTGGAGTCCACCTGTGGTAAATTCAATTGATTGGACATGATTTGGAAATGCACACACCTGTCTATGTAAGGTCCCACAGTTGACACTGCATGTCAGAGCAAAAACCAAGCCATGAGGTCGAAAGAATTGTCCGTAGAGCTCTGAGACAGGATTGTGTCGAGGCACAGATCTGGGGAAGGGTACCAAAACATTTCTGCAGCATTGAAGGTCTTCAAGAACACAGTCGCCTCCATCATTCTTAAATGGAAGAAGTTTGGAACCACCAATACACTTCCTAGAGCAAGAACCCAATGGTCACTCTGACAGAGCTCCAGAGTTCCTCTGTGGAGATGGGAGAACCTTCCAGAAGGACAACCATCTCTGCAGCACTCCACCAATCAGGCCTTTATGGTAGAGTTGTCAGACGGAAGCCACTCCTCAGTAAAAGGCACATGACAGCCCGCTTGGAGTTTGCCAAAAGGCACCTAAAGGACTCTCAAACCATGAGAAACAAGATTCTCTGGTCTGATGAAACCAAGATTGAACTCTGTGGCCTGAATGCCAAGCGTCACGTCTGGAGGAAACCTGGCACCATCCCTACAGTGAAGCATGGTGGTGGCAGCGTCATACTGTGAGGATGTTTTTCAGCGGCAGTGACTTGAAGAATAGTCATGATCGAGGGAAAGATGAACGGAGCAAAGTACAGAGATCCTTGATGATAACCTGCTCCAGAGAGCTCAGGACCTCAGACTGGGGCGAAGGTTGACCTTCCAACAGGACAACAACCCTAAGCACACAGCCAAGACAACGCAGGAGTGGCTTCGGGACAAGTCTCTGAATGTCCTTGAGTGCCCTAGCCAGAGCCCGGACTTGAACCCAATCAAACATCTCTGGAGAGACCTGAAAATAGCTGTGCAGTGACGCTCCCCATCCAACCTGACAGAGCTTGAGAGGATCTGCAGGGAAGAATTGGAGAAAGTCCCCAAATACAGGTGTGCCAAGCTTGTAGGGTCATACCCAAGAAGACTCAAGGCTGTAATCGCTGCCAAAGGTGCTTCAACAAAGTACT